GGTGGAGGCTGATGACGTCTGGGTGGGTTTGGGTGGGGCTGTGGTGGATTAACCTGAGGTCGGTCTTGGTTCTGGTTATCCTGAGCGTGTCCCTGATGGACCTGAGCCTGTTGAACTTGAATTCCAATCCCATTACCAGCTCTTTGACCGTGATCAGCTTCTTGAGCCTGATGCTCATTCCCAACTTGCTGATTCATTCCTAACCTTTCCAAGTGAACAGCTCTCTCTCTTTGTCTTCTGGCTTGGCTTCTTGTGATCATAAACCTGAAAACAAAGACAGAGCTTGAAAAATGATCAGTAAAACAAAATAAACTTGATCTCAAAAACTGAAACTAATGCTAACAATCCCCACACAATATGGCAACGGCGCGAATTGATAACTAAGATTTTTCAGGTCTTAGATGGGTTATCAATCCCCTTGTCAAAGTAGTATAAGGGGTGTCAATCCATATGTGTGGTAGTTAGGCACTAGTTTATGTGATCAAAGACAGGTTTTTGATAACTAGTAACAAATGAAATCATAAACAAGAAACAAACAAGCAATGATAAGGAAGTAATTCAAGCAAACTCAACAAGATGATGGTGATAATAAAGATGATAAAAGCTAAATCTCTAGATGTGATCATTGATTAGGGTGCTGTAGATATTAATTCATGATGCTAAGAACAATAATGCAATGCAAGTTACTCTTTAGTCTAGACTTCAAACGCAGATTAATTCATTCCCATGACAATAATCCCTTTGCTAATCACTTAATCAAGTCTAACAACCATATGATATAATCAAGCAATCAACAAGCATAATGCATCAAGCCTAATAAGCGACCAAACAATCTCTCAACCAAGAAGACTGAATCTTATACAGAAAGACATAACAAGCAATCACATGATCTCAAACATTTCAACTTAGAACTCTAATCTAGACTAATCCTCTCATGAAGGCATTAATCTCTACACTAGTCCACTTTCAAACCAAATTCCCATTTGTGAAATATGAACTACTGAGCATTAAGAAACAGTTCTAATATGTCATTTTTGCATTAAACTATCAATCCCTTGATGAAAAAGGCATAAACCCTTAGCTTAGCTCATTCAAGCATTTCATCAAACACCTTGTGGGAGGAGAAATGCCTAAGCTCTAGATCAGAGTGATGTGTAAAGATCTAGCATTAGGAACAGCTAACTAAGGAAATGAAATGAGAATCTAGTTCCTAAACATCATAAATCAAACATCTAAGCACCCTAATCTACACACCTAGAAGCTTAAAAGATGACTACTCACTAATCATGAAGAACACATCTAATCTTTTGCAAGAAGCAGAAATGAGATGATGAGATGATAAGAAACAGCTTTGGAATGATCAAATCCCTTCAGATATCTCTTAATCAGAAACGTTTTTACACTGAAAAGGAAAGAAAACCAGAGAGAAACTAAGAGAAGATGTTCTTTAGAGTTTTTTCCCAAAAAAGTATTTATACTAAGTGTTATGGACCGGGTCAGCCCGGAACAAACCGGATACTGACCCGACTTTGGTGGGTAAAGATGAGGTTTGCCACGGTCTAGCAGCTCTTGGTCAAGCCGTGGCAAGTGACCGTGTCAAGTCCCGAAGCTCCAGTTCTTGGATGAATCTTGGTGCCACGGGTTCCCTTTGGTCGTGATGCATTGTCGTGTCAAGTCCCGAAGCTCTAAAGGATCCCAAGTGTTGTCTTGCCACGGTCAAGTGTAGACCGTGGTGTGGAGACCGTGTCAAACCTCGAAGGATTGCATCAAGTGCCACGGTCAGATGTGGACCGTGGCATTCCACCGTGCCATCCTTACACTTAGCACAATTTCCACACTCTTGGTGCTTGCAGGATAGGTGTGTCTCTATTCTTCTGGAACTCACGCCTCACAACTCCAAATGGAACTATCTCAACTGTTCTTGAAAGAGGACTCAATTATCTCGAATCTTGATGAAGAAACCCTCAGCGCTTGGGAAGTGGAAGGTTCCCCGGAGGGCTCATCTTTGCAGTACATTGACACGGTCAGAAAGAGGCTACTAGACATGTGTCCATTCCGGAAACGTTATCTTCTTGCTCATGCCTTCAAATTGAATGATATCAAACTTTCTGGAAAGAGGACTCAAATATCTAAAATCTTGATGACGGACCTGTAGACTGAATCGGTCTGGAAGTGCATCGTCCTTGGCAATATTCGGAGTTCATCGGGTCGGTCCAAAACGGTAGCGAGACAGGCGTGCCTTCCGGTGAGCTTAACTCTCTACTCACGCCTCCAAATTCTATGATCCCACCTGGTATTGAAATATGATCCAATCTTCTCCAAATTTGTTGAAGCACCCGACAACTGAATCGGACCGGAAGGTTCCCCGGACAGGCGATCATTCAGGAGTATCGGATTGTTCCGGAATGGATGCGAGAGAGGTCTGTCTTCCGGTGACCGTATCTTTCAGCTCATTGCTCCAAATTCCCTGATTCAACCTGTCCTGGGTTCTTGACTCAATTATCTCCAACTTTGCTGAAGACCCTGTAAGCTGAATCGGCCGGAAATATCTTCCGGTGATGCAATTTCATAAATGTATCTGCACCCGGGATTTTTGGCCGAGAGACTTGACCGCGGTACATGTTTTTGGCCAAGAGAACTACCCGCGGGAAGGATTTTGGCCGAGAATCTTCGGCCATCAGTACAGCATTTTGCCGAGAAACCCAAAATTGCTCCTTTTCACCATTTTTGATCATTTCAACTCCATTTCTTCATCTGAATCACATCCTCCACTCCAAATAGGCTCCAAAAGCACCTGTTTAACACTCCAAAACATGCAAAACTCTCTTGGACCTAATGCAATCTCCTAAGTCCTAAAACAATGCCTAAAGACCTAAAATGCATGCAAATGAGACATGATTTGGACTAGAATATGTACATTAAATGATGCAATTTATGAATATATCATATTCTCACCCTCAATCTCTCTAGCAATCCTCACGGCTTGCTCTTTAAGCTCTCTGGTCCGAGTAGCTTTCTTACTCCAAACAGTAACTCATTTGCCTTAAACTGATCCATCCCCTACAAGCAAAAACGGATCAGCTGAGCATATTACCAGTTATTAGTAATGGACCTAACTCACACCCAAAAGCTAACTCATGAGTGGAGGATTACCACACACTTATATATTGTCCACAAATTTCTTTATTTGTCGATGTGGAACACTAACATCCCCCGTCACGCTCAGGATTGGACATTTGAAGCGTTGAGTTTTGTGGGACTGGACATCCACGGATGTGGCCCACAATCGAACAATTAGAATCTTGGACTCTGATACCATGGGTCTAACTCACACCCAAAAGCTAGCTCATGAGTGGAGGATTACCACACACTTATATATTGTCCACAAATTTCGTTATTTGTCGATGTGGGACACTAACACCAGTAAATACCCAAGTTACGAGAGATCTCAGGGCAAAAAAAAAAGTGATAACTTCACAGCAAATATTACTCATAAGGGAGACAACTATGGAAACAGTAGTCTTCCTGGGTTTCTAATCTGAAACAGCAGAGGAGAAGACCTCACGTGGAGCTCGTTCGCAAGCAGATTTGGAAAAATCAAAGTTCTCGTTGAATATGAAAACAGCAGAGGAGAAGCCCCGAGCGCCGTTTGAGAGAGAGATTGGAGTTTATTTTAGGAAAAAATTTAGGGTTACATGTCGTGAGTTTCCTTTATATAGGGAGGTATAAATTTTGGTTAGATTGGTTCACAATTATTGGTTCAGTTTCGGTTTATGTCTTGGTTAAAATAATTATTGTCGATTTTTCTGGAACAAGGTAAATTTACCCGGTTACAAGAAATTTTTCTTGGTTAGAGAAAACTATTTCCGGTTCAATTTTGATTTAAATTTTGGTTAAGTTCATTTATTCGGTTTAACAGACTTTAATATAAAAGTCTACTAAGTTTAAAACCTAAATAATAGATTTTTTTCTTCCTAATTTAAAAAATATAAATTTAAATTTATCAATATGAAAAAATAATTTATGTATATTTTGGTTACAATTACCTAATTTATGAATGTAATTTTGATACCAAAATATTTTTTTCTAAATTTTAAAATTAAATTTTCTAATTTAATTACATAGTAGACTTCATTTCGTTTTAAAGAAGACTTCTATCAATCTTTAGTAGACTTCGTCATGGTTTAAACGGTAATTAGGACATCCGTTTTTTGTTTGGTCATATATGATTAAATGGTTTTTTTACTACCCTTTTAAGTTATTGTTGTTAAATATTTTTTCAAGGGTTTACTTTTGTATTCAAAGTCAAATTTTAGGTTATTTTTAGCAAAAACTCCATGAATTTATCCCAAACAGAATTCATTGTAGTATTGTGTAATTACACTAATATTAGCTAAGTGAATATATGATAGGAGAAAACATGAGATAAAATATGTGTAAAATGCAAGAGCATAAAAAACAAAAAATATATCATTAAACGTGCTTGATTCAAAAGTAAACGACTAACCAAATAGAAAGAGAAGTAATTTATTGAGTGAGTTTAAATAAAATATGAAAAAAAAATGGGGATCTTGCATGACTAGTCAACGAGTCATGCAAGTTTGTTTAAATAATATAATGGACCGCTTATCTTACAAAAGTAGAATTTATGTACCAAGAGTATACCAAAAAAAATGAGAACCCACACAAAAAAAAAATGGTAAAAGACATTTAATTTTATTATATTATGATTATAAAAGAATAATCATTTATCTTGTTTTCCTATATAAGTCTACCGTTAAAATAGCAGAGCATGAGTTATGATAACAAATACATAAACCAAGATTTGAATATATATGGAAAACTAGTTAATTTGGTATACTGAGTAGTATTTAAACAAGGGACTAAATCTCGGTATAACATATTGTTGTTTAAATACAAGTTTTTATATACAGAATATATGTAACAGAATTTGAAGAAAACAAAATTGAATATGGAAAAAAAAAAAGAGGGCGACAAGGACATGCAAGAGTATATAGCACAAATGAAACCTACCAAACAACCCTCCATTCCTCTTCTAACAGCCATTCCCTCTACCTACCCCAAGTCTCTTTCTTTCTTCTTTCCCATTTATTTATTTCTCCTACCCTCATTACCTACACACACATTTCTATATAATTTACATTTCTTGATTTCAATAACAAGAGAAGAAAAAAAAAAGAAAAAGCAAATAAACACATTCATCACTCTTCATTAAACGATGATAACCGCGGCTCTACACGAACCACAAATTCACAAAACGGCCGATACTACTTCCACCGCTGTCTCCGGCGAGAATGAGCCTCCTACGCTTCGCATTTTCCGATCAAAGCTTCCGGATATCAACATTCCGAACCACCTCCCTCTCCACACTTACTGCTTCCACAAGCTTTCCACTGTTTCCGACAAGCCTTGTCTAATCGTAGGCTCAACCGGAAAAAGCTACACCTACGGAGAGACACACCTCATCTGCCGGAGAGTCGCTTCCGGGTTTTACACAATGGGTATTCGAAAAGGTGACGTCATCATGATCCTCCTACAAAACTCACCCGAGTTCGTCTTCTCCTTCATGGGTGCTTCCATGATAGGAGCCGTCTCAACCACCGCGAATCCTTTCTACACCTCTCAAGAGATTTACAAACAGCTCAAATCTTCCGGAGCTAAGCTCATCATCACTCACTCTCATTACGTCGACAAATTGAGAAACCTCGATCAAGAAACCAAAATCGGAGAAAATCTCACGGTTATCACCACCGACGATCCTACACCGGAGAATTGTCTACCTTTCTCCACACTCATTGACGAGGCAAACCCACAAGATGAATCAGAATCCGTCGGTGTTGATGGTGACGATGCGGCGGCGCTTCCTTTCTCTTCCGGCACGACGGGGTTACCAAAGGGAGTGGTTTTGACTCATAAGAGCTTAATCACCAGCGTTGCGCAACAAGTTGATGGAGATAACCCAAATCTTTACTTGACATCAAACGACGTCGTACTCTGCGTTTTGCCTCTTTTCCACATCTATTCTCTCAATAGCGTGCTACTCAATTCCATCCGATGCGGTACGTAAACCTACAATCTTTTAAATTTAAAAGTTAAAAACGCTTTCCGTTCCATTGTATAAGATGTTTTCCGTAAATACACCAAAACTTTGGAAAATAATTCAGCTAATATGAAAAAACACCTGTTGAAACATCTTACAAAACGAAACAGAGTATTTTTACTTTAAACTACTCCTTACTAATAACTAAACTTAAGTATAGGTGCGACGGTTCTTCTGATGCACAAATTCGAAATTGGAGCATTGTTGGATCTAATCCAGAGACACAAGGTGACTATAGCGGCACTTGTTCCGCCGCTTGTGATCGCTCTGGCTAAGAACCCAACCGTTAACTCTTACGATCTTTCTTCCGTTAGATTGGTTCTCTCCGGTGCAGCTCCATTAGGCAAAGATCTCCAAGATAATCTCCGTCGCCGCCTCCCTCAGGCCGTCCTTGGTCAGGTGTGTCTCTCTGCTTACTGTTTACTCTTTGATTTACCATTTACGTTGCAACTCTTTTTAATTTAGCGGGAACCATTTCTTAAATCACTAATCAATGCATACGTTTTTTTTATATATATATATATATATATATATATATATCTTATTATCGAATTTCATTCTATACCAATTGTATGGAAATGAATAAGTTGGTTAATTTTAATTAAACAGTTTATGTTAAAAAAATTAATATTTAAAACAAAAAATGAGGGAGGGGAATGCACGGGAAGAGAGTGAGGAGTGAGTTGCGTCTAGCTCTTCGGCATAATTCTTGTTACGTAGTCTTCATCTGCTCCCAAGCTAAACTTGCATTGCATTTTCTTTCCTTTTGAAACCTTTTTTCCTTTTAGTTATTAATTTTAATAAAACAGATGTAGTTTAGGTTTAGACAAAGGAAAAACAAAAAATGGATGCGATTTAGGTCGCCGCTCCAATGGATTATACATCTAATTTTTTTTTTTTTGGGATGAAAGCATCTAATTTTTACATCAATAGATTAATTTGAGTATGACATTAGAATTTTTCGTTGCGTTAGTATTTAATTCGAACTTCTCAAAATGTTTTTTTTTTCTTTTATGTTACTGTCTTGGTTATAAATGACATCCCTATTAAAGTCTGTTTTAGAATTTTCTTTTCAAAATATCAAATGTATATACTCCAAAAAATTTAAAAATTAATTAAATTACATTTTAAAACTTTCTTCTCAGATTTGAAACCTTTTAATTGTTGAAATAAATAAGAGGAATTTTACAAATATTTGATTACGTATTCTTCTGGTTTAAATACAGTTGTATTTGAGAGTTTTTTCACGAAGAGTAGCATTAATAATATTGATATTGATAGTGTGGTATCAGAAGCCATATTTATTTTAAAACCAATAATATTTACATTGATTAAATTTTTGCCAACTAAATTTGATTAAATAGAGGAAAAAGTAGATATGGGTCTTAAGATATCAAAACACCGTCATGTGACGTAGGCTCTTTTCTAACACACACACATTCAAGAGATAATTATAAAGTTAGAATTTTTTTTTTTAAAAAAAGATAATTATAAAGTTTTTGTAACCTAAACTATTTAATAATGTATTTTTACGTATCTATTGGAGTGACCTCGTATTATCGAGAAATTTTTGTTTTGTCCGTATAGTCGAGTAATTTAATATTTGTGAATTAGTACGATAGTGCCAAAAGTGTAATTAGGTTAATGAGTGAGGTACTTAATAATAACCGGTGGATTATGAGCATACAGGGATATGGTATGACTGAAGCAGGACCTGTGTTATCAATGAGCCTCGGGTTCGCTAAAGAGCCGATGCCGACAAAATCAGGGTCTTGTGGGACTGTGGTCCGAAATGCTGAACTTAAAGTGGTTCACCTTGAGACACGTCTCTCTCTTAGCTACAACCAACCTGGTGAAATTTGTATCCGTGGTCAACAAATCATGAAAGGTTCGTTTCTTTTTTTTCTGTCTTTGTTTCGATTTATTGTCTATTTTTTGGAGAAATAAATTTGTGACACTGAAAGTTTTATTGGTTGATCCGTTGATGACACAACATAATTATTTTTTATTATAGAATTCTAAAATTACCATTATTATTATTTTTATTTTAACTTCCTAGATAAAAAATACCAAAAACTTTCTATATGAATTTATATGTGGATAGTTTCTTTTTATTCAACAAATAAGAGAAAAGTGATTTAGATTTTACAGAATCTTTGTATTTAAAACAAGAAATTTAGTGTGAATCAATCAATTTGAACATTAAATGTAGGAAAAAAAAATGTTGAATAATTATCTAAGTAAACCTAGATTTGTTTTAATAAACTTGAAGTATATATACTTAGTAGGATTGCATGGAAACTTCATCGTTTTCAAATTTTCATGGCGTTTCAGAAAAAGAAAAAAAAAACGTTTTAAAAGTATGTTGGAAGCTTATGCTTCCATTTTGGAAACTTACCTTTATATTGTAAAAGCGCTATGTAGTAAATAAATAATTTTTTAATTATTCCATGCAACATAATATACAGCTTTAAATTAGGTTTACAGCACCATTACATTTGTAGGACATGCATGATGGAAAAACTTATTTTCTCTATATTCACAAACATGCAATTTATTTATAAAGTAAGGCCACGCCGTTAACATTTATTTACACACACGTAGAGGTGTTTTTCCATTGATGATAGTCTAAGAATTGATAATTAAAGATGTAACATAAATTTTTAACTTTTGGCGCGTAGAGTACTTGAACGATCCAGAAGCCACGTCAGCAACAATAGACGAAGAGGGTTGGCTTCATACAGGAGACATTGGGTATGTAGATGAAGATGATGAGATCTTCATTGTTGATCGACTCAAAGAAGTCATCAAGTTCAAAGGCTTTCAGGCAAGATCAATTAAATTATATATTTTTTCAGTTAAGATTTTAAAAAGTTACTTAGATATATAACATAACATTAACACTTACATGTAAACTGATGCACTCCTAAAATCGTTAAAAAGTACGGATATGTTTAGCGCGTTTTGTGAAATATTCCGTAAAGTACATTATTTCAAAATTGACATGCAGAATCAACTCCCACTTATTTATGATGTTTCAATCACAATATTTTTCAAATAAATATATAATGATGCTATCAAGTTATCATATAGTACATTAAAAAAAAAAGTTATCATATAGTAACTAGAAAAATATTGTGATGGAAACATCATAAATAAATGGAAGTTGATTATGCCTATCAATTTTGAAATAATAAGTAAAAGTGTAAATATTGCTTATATATAATAAAATACAAGATTTTCAAATTGTAGATATTAGTTTGAAATATTCTTTACCTTCTTATATTAAAAATATAAAAGATTGCTTATGTGGCCTAAATGATGAATTGCGAAAGAATAGGTTCCTCCGGCTGAGCTAGAGGCGTTGCTCATCAACCACCATTCGATTGCTGATGCTGCTGTTGTTCCGTAAGTACTAAGTATCACACAATTAGATACAATGAGTCGTAACTTAGCCAACGGCATTTTCTAATTTTTCTTGGTCATTATAGGCAAGGAGATGAAGTGGCTGGAGAAGTTCCGGTGGCTTTCGTTGTGCCATCCAATGGAAACGACATCACCGAAGAAGATATAAAAGAATATATAGCCAAGCAGGTACATATACATTTTTCGGTTTAAATGTTCTCTTCATATATACATATGCGTGGGAAAATATAAATATAAACAAAAACATTTTAAAATAATCGTTGTGATTTCTCTTTAGCCCCTGTAGATGTTTAAAGTTGCAAAAATATCCGATTTACTACAAGTTTCCGGGATTCGTTTGGGATTTGGCCCCGAATCTATATCTCATTTAGAAAAGAAAAAACATGTACTCAAAGCGGAAAGATTTTAAACGAACTTAAAGAACACTTATTTGCGCTAATTGCTCAAGGATCAAGCATTCAACTTTTTTTCAAAATATAAGACTCTTTCTATCAAAAATAATATTAATTTTCTTAAAAGAATAAAAAATCATAGGTAGAGAAGGAATCATAACAAGTGATTGTAAGGTTGGATCGGAGTCCATTAAGAAAAGAAGTAAAATATTGTGTATTACGAATAACTTATGTTTATTGTTGGACATAGCTTACTAAAAGATCTAAAGGGAAATAAGAAATCGATTTGGTTAGAATGATTAAACACTAAAAAGTAAAAACATATTCTTAGCTTTTATAATTGTTATTTAATTTTCTGCTTTATATATAGAATGAATATGTAACTGATGTGTGAATTTGTAGGTGGTGTTCTACAAGAGATTGCACAAGGTCTTCTTTGTTCCTTCCATACCCAAATCTCCTTCCGGAAAAATTCTGAGAAAGGATCTCAAAGCTAAACTTTGTTGAATGTATTTTTTTTTCTCTATATATGATTCAAACGTTCTTTTGTATCCACAATACTCGTCTTATTTTTAGATCCTTTGTCGCAACAGATGTTGGAAACTAAGAAACCAGAATTATTTTGATATTTGAATGATTATAATTTTTTCAAAAGGAAGATAAAGTAAAAACTAAAAAACGTAGATCTTATTATATAAAGCGGAATATTTCAAAATTGCTAATTCATCATATTGTGACATGATCATATTTTTACCTGTGTAAAAAAAATAATAATCAGATTTTGACACATAAAATTAACAATCAATGATTTTTTTTTAAAAAAAAAATTTGTGACTTTATCACAAAAGTAAAGTTAGCAAATAACTGAAAAATAAAAATAGGTTTGATTAAGAAAACAAATAATAATCATAAAGATTTTTTCTTAGATAAAAATATAATTGTTTCTACTTAGAATAAAAATTAAACAAGAACTTAAATCCTAAATAAAATTAAAGTAAATGTGTACAATATACCCGTTACTATTCCTAATTTGCCGATATAACCAAACTACTATTCAGAGACTGTACCAAAATTTTTAATACCATGTTACCTCTACTCCCCGATTCGGCTAGCCAAAAGATTATGCCGATTATTGAGAAGATTGTGTGTCAGTAAAATATTAATTTATTGTTGGTGAAGATAATGACCATATGATTTTATTTATAAAAATTTAAAATCAAAATAATTAAATTCCACAGTTACATATGCCAATATGCTGTTATAGGATTGAATAAATGATTTGGAATTCTGTAATTTAGGGTAAGTTTAAAGTTAGACATAACTCAGAAAATCCAAAATTACTAAACTCAGGGGCGGTTCCTCTTCACTTCATTTCAAATTTCGAATCGCACATACTCAAATCTTCATATCTGGAGATTTTTCTAAAAATCTTTGTTTTGCGACAGTTTATTTCCGCAATTTTGTAACCTCCGCTCCTGATTTCGCTTTGAATCTTCCTAATTTCGTTGTTAGGGTTTCACAAAATGTCTAGTTTTCGTCTACCTGAGAGAATTTTTGCAGTGGGTTGGGAGCCTGTAGGGGGAGAGGGTTAATTCATACCAGAAATCTAAAACGCTTCAGGCCATCCTTAACGCCCTGGACGACGATGAAGTGAAGAGACTGCGAGATTCACAACTGGGGAAGCTTTTGGCGACAATGAAGATACCGTCTTTCTCCGGCAGTTTTGGTTTCTACATGCTTGCAAGCATATAAAGAAAAAGCACGAGTTGTGGTTCTTGTTCGCGGGCCGTCCGATTAGATTTTTTCTCCGCGAGTTTGCTATTGTAACCAGTCTCGAATGTGACAAGCTCCCCCCCCCCCACCAAAAAAACCTTGTTTCTCAAAAACCGTATTGGCCGGAATTATTCGGTTTGAAATCGTGCACAGTAGAATCCATCGTCAATATGCTCTCCAAGAAAAAAACCACCGACAATGAGAAAAGATTCAAGTGTGCCTGCCTTGCGGTGATGTCTGCCGTATTGGTTCCGACATCCCATATTACGAAGATTATTCCTGAGCATGTTGAATTGATTAGGAATATCGACTAGTTCCTTACACACCATTGGGGCCGAGTTGGTTTTGATTTGTTGGTGTCGAGTATAAAATCAAGGACGAGTTAGAGTTATCGTAGAAGACAACTGCGGTCAAAGGGTTTTTCTATGCTGTTCAGTTGGTTATGATGGCGGCTGTACCATCTCTTACCGAAGTTGTCCAACCTCCTGACGTAGAGTCTGATAGAGACATTTACAACGAAGATGTTAACGAGACTGAGGCGAGCACCGGCATCGACAATAGCCATGGCTGGAGCTACTGCTGCACCGAGTGTTGTCAAGATGACTCTTAGCCCCAATCATGCTCGAGAGCTTGACGAAGAGGATAAGGCACGAGTATCCTTCTTGTTAACTTATATAAATTCTCATATCATCCAGTCTTTTCGGTATTATGTTAACGAATATCTTAGAGCGTATAGTTCTTAACAGGAACTTAAATTAATTTCCTGTTACTAATTTTGTTATGCCTATTGCTAAATTCATTAATACAGGTTTTGGTGCATTCCATCATACATGCTGATGGTGATTTAGCTATCGAGGGCATGGATTTGCGGTGGACCGACGAAGTTGATAATACCGTATTTTGACCACTTTTATGGATCGTTTTTAAATAATTTTTAAATGATTTTATTTCTTTTAAGTGTATTTATTATGATTTTCTAGTATTTGTAGTTTCAAGACACTTTTCAGAAAACTTAGGAAAAAGCTTAGCAAAATGGATAGAAGACCAGATTTTCAGCTCAGAATCAAACAGTCAGAAGTTCACCCTCAAATGAAGGCCTTCTCACCGTCTGATCCAGCTCAAACTTGGAGACCTTAAAGATGAAACAAACAGTTTTCCAGCACACTTGACACCAAGAAAATCCAATGGTTCAATCAAAAGTTACGCGAAAAGCAAGATGTTCTGTCAACCATCCGGCAAGCAATCCTGACCGCGGCCAGCACCCAGTTTACACCGGTCACATCTCTTCTGACCGTGGAGATTGGTCTGTTCGGCCTAGAAGCCCATTTCCAAGCCCAAATCGATTCCTTCATTTGAAAAAATCTTAAGTGATGTCCAGAAATGACTTGAGCACTATATATACATGTTTTGGGAGTTTTTTTCGAGTGGGGGCTCTGTCAATCTCTCCTGAAAATATTCTTCTCTGTGCAGATATAAAGGTGGAGGAGGTTTCATCATCACCCAGCTGTGTCTTGTTTAATGCATCGTATGTCTCTTGCGAGTGGGGCTTCTTCGCATGAGGGCTTTTCTTGGTTCGAATGAGTCGTACCTGAGAGAGATCCATGACCTGCAAAACAGAATTCTCGAGACAGAGAATAAGTGGAGTTGTTTTTGAATCACTTTTATGAGCAAAGATGTTCATACAGCTTTTAAAAACACATTCAGATGACAACAAGCTGTAAATGCCTCAAACATTGCAAAATCTGGGAGTTCATGGTCAAATTTGATACAGTGATGTTCAACATATGAGATTTCTAAACCAAGATGATGTTAATGCTCATTCATATGCATTCTAATCATATTATCTATCAACAATGACCAAACAATCCAGATTTGCTAAGTTGAATAAAACAGTTCTTCAAATTTTTGATTTTCTCAAGTGTTCAAATCTCAGATTTTTGAAAATTTCAAATCTACATGGTCTAGGCGTTTAAGCATGCAATTAAACTACCCAGAAGTCTAGTCTTTAGTTCAAAGACAATCTCCAATCATCCTAAGGTGAATTTGTACTCATTCTAAGAAAACCCGAAATTTGAGTTCATAAGAAAAAGAGAGAGATTTGGATCCATACCTTGATGAAAGTGTGATGTGATGACAGATTTGGAATCTCCTTTGAAAAAGATTGAGACAGGTTTAAAAATTTGGAAGAGATTTGTCAAGTTTGAAATCTGGTCTTTTTCTCAAAATCGCCAAGCTTGTTGGAGAAGATGATGAAAAATAACCTTTTGATCTTTGAAATTCCTCTTTTTCTTTTTAAAAAGGTGTTTTTCCTAAGAATATATTTTTAAAAAGCTTTTAAGGACTTATCTTGGCGTGTTTAACACGGAAATAAAGTTTCAAAAACTCCCCGGTTTAAGCCCGAAATAAATTGGGATTTTGAAGTTCTGGTTCGCAGGAAATCGGGAAAACAAGTTAGGAAGCAGAACAGAGGCCGGCCGCGGGTGAGAGATGTGCGGCCGCGACAAACTATGGTTTTGCTGCGGGTGAGGGACACGGGCCACGGTGAAACGAGCTCCGGCCGCGGCTGAGGTGATCGCGGCCGCAGAAAATAGCTCCGGTTTCACCTGCTTCTTTCCGGTTTCCGATTTCTTCTTCCTATCTTTTTGTATTTTTCTAGTTTTTTTAAATGTTTTTGATTTTTCTGGGTTTTATGAAAGCCTGAAATGCATAAAAATAAAAAAGATCAAGTGGAAAAGAAATAAAAAGAAAAGAAAATCATACTAAATGGGTTGCCTCCCATTAAGCGCTTTTGTTTAAAGTCTTTTAGCTAGACTCTTTGCATGATTAGGATTGAGAAAAAGAGGTAGGATCTCTTGAAGTAAGAGTCCTTGGGATCCTCCTTAGTCTGAACTTTGGATCTCCTTCATCTTGAATCAAAATCTCTTTTCCTTTCTTAAAGATTTTTGCATCTTTGAAGACATGTCTTGTCTTCTCAACAATTTCTTCAAGATTTTTCTCTTTCTCCTTGATGATGTCTGGTGGCACTACAATCTTGATCTTCTCAAATTGCCTGGATGCAAGTGCTTTTAGTTCCTTTTAGTCGTCCAAGCGGTTTGGAGCTTGATCCTGTGTGGTCTTATAGAACTTTTCCCTGTCCACATTTAAGAAAACTAAACAACGATTTGCATGGTCAATAACAGCACCTACAGTAGCTAAGAATGGGCGACCAAATATCAAGGGTCTTTATTTGTCTTTATCCATCTCTAAGACTTGGAAATCGGCTGGGATAAATTTTGTTTCCAATGACCAGTGGCAAGTCCTGGATCATTCCTTTTGTCCTCTTTTGAGATGAATCACCAAAGATGGGACAAATGTACCTATACCAAGTTTCTCAGCAACAGATTTTGACATAACATTCACATTAGCACCCAAATCACATAAACAATCTGAAAATTCAATTCCAGAAATTGAATAAGTGAAAGAAAAACGCCCTGGATCCTTAGACTTTTTGAGTCTTTGGTCAGGCAAGCGTTTGGATACCTTAACCGGAATGACTTGGCTTCTCTCATGCTCGGTTTTAAAGTCCTTCATGAGAGGTTCAGGTGTCGACTTTTCCTTAGAGTCTGCGACAGGTTCTTCTTCCAAAACTGCTGTCATAGCATTGCAGAACTTCTTTGGATTGTCCTCCACTCTTCCTGGTAAGACTCATAGTTGTCTCTTCATTGAATCTGCAGTTTGACCTATCTGATGTTCCAACTTCTTGACATGGTTTGAAAGAGAATCAAACTTCCCATTCAAGTCATTGTAGATACAATCGATCCTTACTCCCATTTCCCTGATCGACTTCTCATTGCCTTGAGTTGTCTGCATCATAGTTTGTTCAAGCAATTTTACCTGGTTACTTAGCTGGGAAAGAGTTGCTTCTA